TGGAGTGTACACATAAAGTTACCTTATATTGATACTAAAAGAAAAAAAAACGAAATAGTCATATATCAGTTGTTTAAAATATATATACATTGGAGAGAGCGACATAGGCAGGTCACGTTTCACGATCAGTGTCAGTGCAGGGCTTTACGTGAACGCGCGGTGGCTCCGCCAGCAGGCATCACGCGCCGTACCCCTCGCGCGAATTCCCTGCAGGGTGGAGGAGGGCTCCCGACTATTCACACAGATGGGGGACTAGCTCCAATTAATGCGCCGTGAATGAATACACAAGCTGAAGAGCGTCCACTGTGGTTTGGTGCCATTTTATTCTATTATTTCGGATGATGGCAACATGTTCAGGAGCTAAATGCCAATGTCGAGGTCTGCTAGCCACGACGAGAGTGCTTCGGGAGAGAGTGTCGTGTTGCTGCTCTTCCACCTCCGTTGTCGGAGCGCAGACTGCAGTGGTTCGATGGCATGGCTGTTTTTATGAACCTATCTGTGCAGACTTCTCGAATGTTATCTCCTCTCACAGGTGGGGGTTCTGCACGTGTTCTGGTTTCCTCCTATATGCAAATACTCCTGGATGGAAAGCGGCCAACATCACAATGCAGAACCCTCATGAAAATTCGCGAGGCTCAAGGGCTTTGCGGTATAAATAGTTGGCATCTTGTTTAGGATATTCGAGCTTTCTGCTTTAATGCCCATTAATAAGGATCGTGAGGGGGCATAATCTGTCTGAATCTGAGAAACTTACCATACAATCTAAGATTCATTATGGTTATCTCAAGTTCTCAGAACATGTTTTGGTCTTTACAAAGTGTTGTTTGGCTTCAGATGCGCTCTGCTCCCTCGACGCAGGTGTCTCTTATGGAAAGTGGGGGAACTCAGTGTCGGCTTTCTGGTCACGCGATCAAATCGTTTAGCGAAATGTCATCGCCACTTGCCTCGGTTTTTTTTCTCCTCTCTCAGATGAGGCCCTCACTTTTGTACGAAATATATTTAACAATCGCAAAAAGAAACAACCCCTGAAGCACTTTGTAATGAAAACACAATTTCCCCAACTAATCAACAGTCTTGTTGATTACATTTGCATAATTTCTTCCCCTAATGGCCTGCTCCCTGCCGCGTTGGCAGCACAGCGTCCAGACTGCTGCAGCTGTGCGGTTTGCTCCTCGCTGATTTGTTTTCAGTCCGTATGGCACGAGAGGCAGCGGCTACAGATGAATGAAGGCGAATGATCTAAGGACATTTTGAACTGCCTCGTTGAGCCTCAGGCCTCGACTTGAAACTGATAACTTTCAGAGATCATGTGAGATGAACACGTACCGCTATTATAAATCCAATGTACTACGTGAATGCCTAATGCAGAAGTATCACATTTATACTGTTCAACATTATTTGAGAAAATCATTGTTAATGATTTGTTTCGATACAGTGCCTTTATTTGATAAGTCCTCAGCACAGACTGGGAAAGATCTAGCTCATCGGATCAATCTCACACACCCCTATTTCCATGGATCTCAAAGGGGTACTGATATCCAAGACCTCGGATATCAAGGCTGTATTTCTGAAATCCTATCAGGACTTAAATACAATAGATCCCCCTTTGGGTACAATCTACTGGCCATCTGCGAAAAAGAGCAACAAAGCTCATCGGATTCCTCGAGTCTAATGAAAGATTCTTCTTAATTGAGGATTGCCTTTCAAATCGTAATGTGACAAAAGGGACAGATACATTATCTCAGCTTTCTTTGCAGGCGATGCATTGGTGTGGATGGATAGGTTCTCACCCTTATGGGAAATGCCTGGTCCGGAAAAGGAAATTCAACACATTTATCCAACACACTTTGAAAGGAAAATTATATAATATAAATTATATAATATAAATAATATAATATATTATATAAATTATATAATATAACGGACGTTTTGGGCACTGACCCGTCTTGACAGCAAATAGAGAGCCGAGAGAAAGAAAACCAGTCTCGGCAAACCTCCATTGACCTGTACCACGCAAGAGCCAACTCATCCAGAATGCACCCAACCTCATTCCATTTCAGAATCTCAGCAGAATTGAGCCTGAATAGTGCTTTAATGTATAACTACCATTCAGAAAAGATAGGGCATAGGGCATGTATGACTGCGTGGTGGCCAGCAGAGAGGGTGCAGAAACACCCATTGCTTTACCCTACTTCTATGTTCCAACGTCTATGCTCTCCACCTGCAACTCGCACTGACCAGCATGGTGAAGTCACGTGAAATATCCCGGACAACTCGGCCCTCATCCAGCAGTGAATTGACAAAAGGGCTGTACACATATACAGTAAATTCTATATGAGTAATTTAAGGAGGTTGAGAAAAGTGTTTCCAGACAAACAAGATGTATTTCTCTATCATAATCAATTTGGAATTTTAATATTTACCGCAAGTATTAATATACACATGGACATTTCAGTTTAAATCCAACGAAATGTTGAGGCTGCAGTCCGAAGCAAAGATGCAAGCACGGCATTTTATCGGTGTCATGGGTGTCTGCTTTATTGCTGAGTTATTGCCGTTAATGAAGGTCACACTTTTTGTTCTGCATGAGGGACAGTAATTCTCTCTTAACAATGTCAACACTGATTTGAAGAACGTTCTCAGCCTTGAGAAAAACCACAGCAAAATACTTCAAAACAAGAACTTGGGAATCCATAGAGATACATTACTAAAACGTTATTTAATGAAATGTAATTACAAATAATAAATCGAAGCATTACAGTAAGTTCCGCTGTAATAATTAATGAGAATAGCATGTTATTTTGTGAAAGTAAAAATGTCATTGAAGTCTCAGATTCACTAATTTTACATTTCAGACAACTTCATTAATGGCCAGTTGAGAACCCAATAAGATAAAAGCATTTTGTGAATGATTCCCTGGGGTTTGATTAAGAATAAAATGTGTACACTAACAAAAATCAGGTAGAAAACCAACACATATCAAACAACGATTAAAAGGAAATAACGTAGAATGAAGTTCAAAACTAAAAAAAAAACATTAATGTGCTCAAAACACTAAAACATTGTCCAGCTATATGCATGTTTTTTTTTACAGAATCTAAATGCGAGTCATTTCCAGAACCTTGCATGTGTATGATCGTTTTTAGAGTTGTGTCCGACTTACTTTGGCGACGTCACGAGTGCACGGAGCCGGTACGGAGCCGATACGACAGCAGCTGGCTGCACTCACTCGAGTCCCGACAGCGTGCAGGTGCGGCTGTAGCTATTCCGAAGGCTATTTCCTTCACACATGGGAAATGAAAGAGTGACTCTATTGTGAATGTGGTGAAGTGCAATCTGTTCATCGTGTAACTGGCCACCGCCCCGTTGCAGGCTTAAAGAAGGAGGTATGGACGCTAAACGTCAAGCCACTCCGTTATAATGTTGTCTGTCGCTTTTCAAACGCTGCACGGGAGAAAGAGGGATGTCCCAGGGCTCGGCACGTCCCAGGGAACTCTTCACGAAGGGAGCTGCAGTGGCTCAGGGCTTGGGAGAAGGGTCTGCACTGGCACACGGTCGCCTTGTCGTGATGGGTTTCTGGCAGTAGGTGTGAGAGGGCAATCTAACAAAACAGCCGGATTTTATGTACGAAGAAGCCCAATCCACCCCTTTAGTCGGCGAATTTGGTTGGAAACATTTTTCCTATCAGTGCCGAGCGTGAGATGGCTCTTGGTGGATGATGGCCGGTGAACGGCACCGCTACCACGGTGTCACCTTGACATGCACTGCCACTGGATTTTCAATTAGTGGCTCTGCTTAGTAGTTTACATGTTGGACATTTTAAAAGATTAAAATTCCAACTATCTTGTTTAAATTTCATAAACACCCTGACGACGCAGTCTCTGTGTTTAGCCTGAGCGTCCCTCAGGTGACCCCACGGTTCATGACGTGGGATAGAATCAATGATAACAGCATATTCTAGATACGCTGTGTAACATTAGAGCTACGTTAATGGCATACTGTGCGATAAGCAATTCATGGTCTATTATGCTTCACTGAGTTTTGATGCGCATGACAGAATCTGTACATCAGCACATAAGGCAAAGAGCTGGGACAGTGGCCTGTGCCTTTCAGATGGAAAGCATTGAGTTTCAATTGGCGACAGAAGTCGCTCATGTGGCCCCTAATTTCCTCATAGGTTTACTAAAATAATTGTAGTAACATTTAAATAAATCATTATTTAATACATTCGTGGAAGATTTTCATTTAGCGAGGGTAAATGTTTGATTTTTTTAAACAGAAGACGTCTTCATCTTCTTTGGTTCTTTCGGTAAAGTCGAGAACCAAAGAAGATGAATCCTTGCAGTCACGAAAGCTTTAAATCGAAAAGAAGACGTCTTCATACACATTTGTGTTATAATTGAGGTTAAGATTTGTAATAGATAGCAATTACTGCTCTTCTATACGTTTCACTAGGTGACTATGAGAATGGAACCACCATGGAAATGTGTAAATTCCACGACTAGAAACGGGGAAATCAAAGATGAGCTCTGCCCCATTGCGCGTTTGCGAGGGAGACGCTTGACTTGTGTAATTGATGTCATTAGTGATGTTTATACTCCGGTTTATTTGGATTGGCAATTGCAATCATCTTCTTTTGACACAAAATCCTCGCGTGTCAGCCATTGTCTGTTCCCAGCGTTCTAATTGGCTGGAGCGCACGTGCCGGCCAAAGTGCGGGGGCTGAGAGTGGGGGGCGCGGAGAGGAGGGGGGGCACCTGGGGGTGGGGAGGTGGGGGCGGCGTCGTTGCTACGCGACGGCTACTGCCACTCATAACAATGTCTAATATTAACTTCTGCCCTGTTTATATTACAACTTTATTACCTGTGATAATAATACTGCAATGGCTTTCACTAATAACATAAGCTTGAGTATGAAAACACTGCTTACACTGCGTCTAAAACATATTTGAAACTCGATGCAAGACAACGCAATTTTCAAAGACAACATTTGTAACAACTTTAGGCAAGTTTAGTTTATTAACCGCATCAAAACCAACACACAATGAACGCGTTAAAACAGTGAACAACCTCCTTTAAATAATACTATTTTGCCATTTCAGCAAACGGGGTAGGTGTAGAAACCTCTGCTACCATTCCATGGTAATGTTTGCTGTCCAAAGGCAAACACCGTTAAAGCGCTCTCCATGCTGCAGTCAGGCCACATGCACGTGTTGTAGACTTCTTAGTGTTACTGTGATCGCTTTCTCTCATTGTATCTATCACCTAGACGAGCATTGTGCCGTTAGCGTCCAAGCAGCGGCAAACTCCGTTGATGAACGATCCAGAGGAGACATCGGACTCTGAGCCTGTGCTGCTTTTATCTCTGCAAGGCCCTCCTATGTGGGAATGGATACATTCTGTGAAACATCTAATTTATGTTATGGGTTTTAGTACGGTGTCTGACGACCGGGCTGAGACCATTATCTTGCCACGTGTGAGAACCTGGTTTTATTGTGGGCGGCTGTCGGGAATTGAACTGAGGATCTCTGGGGCGTTCGCTCTGCCACGGAAATCGCCCCCCCCCCCCCCCCCCCGAGCCACCCAGCCACCTCGGCAGTTCTAGCAATCTCTGAGATGAATACAGCTTCCTTACCGTAACATATATTCTACATGAACATCTGGGAGGCCTGGTTATGAGTGCTCAGGCATTGTTAGAGTGACAATGTGACATGTAATTAAATATACAGTGTTGTGCAGTACTTCCAAGTGTTACGATCACGTGGAGATTCACGGGAGATGACCTCCCGGCGATCCACAAGTCCCACACACCTACAAAACACGTTTGCAATTCAGTTCCATAAGGTTAAATTGTAAAACGTCTGACAGCAAAAAACAAATGGCTCTTAAATGCATATTCAAATACAACATATATGGACATGTCTTATTCCAAACAAAACAGTCTACATGTACTCGAAAGAAATGTAGGTAATGTTTAAAGTTCATTCAAATCAGAAACTGCAATTGCATTTCGTAATTTTCAATGACAGCAACTTTCGAGGCCTCCCTATACCATCCTCATGCTGATCTGTCTGGGGTTTGGCGCCTGAGCGCCCGAGTCGGTGCTCTCGGTGCGCCGGGAGGTGTACTCAACGTGGACGCTGGGTTTGTGTCTGCCCCTTCCCCTGCTCCAAAGAAACAGAATGAACAAGCAGAGCACCACGACGCCCAGAAACGTGAAGCAGCCGATGGCTATGGCCACTAGGATGGTTTTGACGTCGTAGAGCTGCTGGTCCCTTGCCCGAGTGGCGTTAGAGCCGGTGCCGTTCATCCCGTTGCCGACGTACGCGAGGGTGTCGTTGTTGTACAAAGACTGTGGAGAAAAGCTCTTGACGTCGAGGATGCCCGTGTTGGTGTCGTTGCCCGCGGCGTTGCTGGCTACGCACACGTAAGTACCGCTGTCCAGGATCTGCGCGTAGCGAATTTGCAGCGTGCCGTCTGGCAGCACGGCCATGCGGCCGTTAGACTGAGCCGTGATCTTTTGCTTCCATGGCGAGACCCACATGATGGAGGGCTGGGGGTCCCCCTCTGCCTGGCACGGCAGCAGCACCGTCTGGCTCTCGGCCGTGGCGACCTGCTGGGGCTTCTGCACCGTGATCCAGGGCTTCTTGCACGAGAAGTAATACGGTGACATCTCCTCGGGGAAGTCTCCAAACGCCATGCCCTTGACGTGCTCGGGAGATTCGCACGACGGCTGCCGCTCGCCCAGGGCCAAGCGTCTCCGCCTGCGCACGACCCACAGCAGGCGACAATCGCATGCCAGGGGGTTTGAGTCCAAACCGAGGACCTGCAGACTACTCGTCGACTGGAAAGCACTCTCCTCCAGGGACTGCAGCAGGTTTTTTGACACGTTTAAAACTCTTAATTTGCTGAGGCCTATAAAGGCCTGGGGCTTGATTGTGGTGAGCCTCGACACAGCCACATGCAATTCCTGAAGTCGAATTAAATTCTGAAAGGCACCAGCTTCTACTACTCTGATTTGATTGTACGATAGGTTTAATAGCCTGAGATTAACCAGAGGCTGCAATGCTGATTGTGGGATGGTGGTGATATTTGTGAAGGTAATTGATAGCGCCGTCAAGTTCAATGCATATAGACTGTTCATAGGAAGCTCCTCGAGCATTGGCCAGTGGCTTAGTTCAAGCACCTTCAGTCGGAGGAGCCGCCTGAATGAGAAGGGCAAGATGCTCGCGATGTTGAGGTGGCGTAGCCTGAGCGTGGACAGGCTGCCCAGGTGAGACAGCGCCTCCGTGGGGAGACTCGTTAGGTTGCACTTTTCCAAAGTGAGCTGCTCCAGGCTCTGTAGCCCCTTGAAGGCGTGGTGAGAGACATAAACCAGTTCGTTGTCTCCTACCTCCAGCCGCTTGAGATTGCGCAGATCCTGGAACATGTAATCCAGCAGGATGACGATCTTGTTTTCACTGATGTCTAAGTGCGTCAGGTTGGTGAGCCTGGAGAACACGCCGCGAGGGATGAGCTTCAGGCGGTTATTCCTCAGGCTTAAAGAGCGGAGGAAGGGCAGGTTGTTGAAGGCTCCTGGCTCGATATTTGCGATCACATTTTCATTCACCTCCAGCTCCTCCAGCAGCAGAAAGTTCGAGAAGTCGTCAGGGTCCAGGGAACGTAGCCGGTTTTTGCTGAGGTCCAGCGATTTGGTTTCTGTGGGTATGCCTTCGGGGATGGCCACCATTCTCCGCCGATGGCACACCACGGACTTCTGAAGCGCAGTGCACTCGCAGCGCGCTGGGCAGCCCATGGCGTGGCTCTCCAGGGAAGGCAGGATGATGACGACGACCGCCAAGAGTGCCTGAGAACAGCCCAGGGGCTTGTGAAGCACCCTTCTTCTGTGTCCGAGCATTTCAGTCTGAACCTGCCAATGAAATTTAAAGAAGATATAGTCCAATAATGTGCTGTCACCCAAGGGGGAAATCATGCCTCATTTGCACCCTGCAGTCTAACACCAGCAACGAGCGTAACAACCACATTTGCAAATCAACGTGCACGTCAAATAGCACAAGGTCACACAAGAAGGAATTACTATTATTCCAATTGGTGAAATGTGTTGTGTTAAGGAACCCACAGTATTCACCCAGCATTAACAGTTACAACTCGTTGTTTGTTCAGTGACTTAGACAACCTTTAAGCATATGTATTATCTCGTATTCAGTGAAAGGTCATATGTCAGACCAGGTAACACAATTATTACAGCTTTATTCTTTTGGCAGATTGGTATGGTACATTTAATATATTACCCGCTATGGATAAAAATATGGTCATTGACATACAAAATGGAACAAAAGCTGAAATGTGAGATTCTGAGATTCCCAATGAGGAATCATCAGCACGTAATAGCAATTTAATTGTTGCTGGATTGTGCCTAGGAGTGATTTTCTGCACACAGACTATTTTACATGCTATTCCTCATCCTTTGTCCCATAATTAAAATATATTCGTGAAAATATGTAGACATGTCTGCCACAGCACACTGTATGTAATGTGTACGCCTTGTACAATTGATTTCATGTTGCCCTCTTTTTAGCTGATGGATTCATTTGGATTGCCGGGAGAGAGATGTTATTTCTCGTCCTTATTTTGGCATGTTCTAACTTAACCGTGAGTGACACGCTGGTAGCGTTCCTAAACATAAGTATGACATATTTGAGAAAATTCTGCATATTTTTCAAATCAATTGCCATGGATATGTTGGAAAATGCATTGAATAAGCTGCAACTAATTACGGAGAGGTTATACAGATCACTTGCTTTCTGTCCGTATGTTTAACTTCTTTCTTTTTTGTGCACCGTATGTAGCTAACTGTGCTAATTGGAGGTGTGCATCTTCTCCACGATATGGGTGACAATTATCGCTCCTCACTGTCTTTAAAAAAATAAAATAGTAAATTGTGACTGCCATTTTTGTCTTCAAATTTTCCTAAAACATTGTGCAGAATTAGTCAGAGGTGTGTTATTGCTTGAGAAATGAATGTGATCATTTTCACATTTTAATTGGATCTGTTGCATGTCTGAATATAAATTGATTTAATAAATCCTTCAAGTAATCTGTCAGTGAGCATCATTCCAGAAAACGCAATTGCTTCCCGAGGGCATCCTGTGTCATATGGTTCATGCTTGGTGTCAAATATCTCTGATGCCTCTCCACACCCGTACGTATTTCTCTGGTTTACTTGCCTCCACCCTCGATATACATTTCTGTGATATCTCTCTCCTCGCACGCTATAAATGTTTTTTGAGTGAGAATGTTTCGGAACATTTCATCCTTTTCATCGCCACAGCGCCTCTCGTGAGATGGTGTACACTCTGATCAATGGATTTTAATAGCAGACTCTTACGAAGAACGAGAAGTCCTATTTAATATTTGTACTGTTTTTGCTAGGTTTTTCTACGTTTTTAGCGGTAGCCTTTTAAAGCCTGCATGATATTATCCACGGGCCGCATTGTTAAACTCCGTTCGCAGTTTGCTGTCATTCCATCAACTGTTGTCTATATCTGCTGCAGCCCTTTCTTTATTGTGTTTTCCCTCACAGTAATAGATCAGGACATGCAGGCTCTTTAGCTGTAGGCCAGACAGGCCATAAACACCTCGGGGACATTGACCCAGTCTCGGAAATGGAAAAGCAAAACCCCGGTGTGCTACATGCAAAGCTGGGCAGCAACCGCCACTTTCATTGTTGCAGCGGCTGCTCGTTTATTGCTGGGGGAAAAAAAATTAGTCTCTGGATGATTTGTTTTGTTACCGTAATTGCGCTGACAGTTCTCACACCGTAGAAAAATGAAGAGCTGTAGTCTTATTTTATATAATCCGATGTATGTATCTTTCCAGCAAGTCTAACATGCACGGTCAATTTGTAACAGCGGAAATATGTTTTTATCATCAGTTTAAGAACATATTTTACACAAAACATATCACAAAACAACCACACACAGTGGCTGAAACAAAGCACCAAAAGCTTCCCAAAGCGCGGGTTTGTTTATTCCAGTTGACCTTAGAGTCTCCCTACACACGTTATCCATCTTGACTGATCCGGATCTATTATCATAATTTGGTATTCGTGCCATTCTGATAGCTCAGGGCTATGACGAAGGTGGTGCTGTGGTTCACAGACACAGTTTGCAGTAGTTTCACAGCAGGGAGCGATGTATAATTTAGGTATTTTTTTTACAATTTGGAAAATTTAGACCGTGATGCCACCACACAATGGCCTACTCGTTTCAAATGCAGTCTGGGGATCTTTAACATCCATTGTGAAGCAGAGAGTGTGCATTTTACGGTTAATATTCCCGCAGGGATAACGAGGGCGGCCTGTAAAATTCGAACCGCGAACCTCTGCAACAAGCAGTGAACTCCCTACCACAGGGCCTTGTCAACACCACACCAAGGGATGCTCTTTAGCATATGTAGCGCCACCCACCCACACACAGTGTGTCACTAGAGTGGCACCAGTGCTTGTAGGAGTCTCAATATTCGGCACATCGACCCCACATAACGTCCACATGCATACAGTGTTTACAGAATGTGTTTCAAAGGGAGGTAAGGGCATCCCAAGTAACACGGTTGACTACGTACATTGCGAAATAAGTTCAACATACATACATCCCCTCACTAAATCTAAAAAGTGAATGTTGCTGCATCAGAGACACGTGATCTGAAGCACCAAACAAACCGATCCAGGGACAGTCTAAGAGTTTGCAGCCAGCACACATTTCTCTCTGATGCCAGCCACACGCTCTGCACCGCGCCTGAAGGTATGCCACATTTTGGGTGCCGTGTTCACCAGGGCGTGAATAACAAAAACTCAACGCATTCATCAAGAGCACTTTTTAAAAGACAACAACAATCTAAGAGACAACGTTTGGGGCAATGGTTCTTCTTCACCACATTTCAAGAACCATTGAAGGACCATTACCTGAAACGTCACATATTATAAATTTAGTTTATTTCCTTGTGAGGCGAGTGTTATTAACGAATGTGTTGAGTTTTCTTTATTTTTCCTTGTGCACCACTGGCCAGTATTACCAAATAATTTAGTTAGTTTGTCAGGGCAAGATAGCCGACCTTTGCACTGCTATTGTGCACTTGTGACACCGAGCACAATGTTCATAGTCCCGTACCCCTCAGATGATGAGTATGGAACGTCACACACATTGTCGTGCCTGATGCTCCACACACACTGAATATCGATTAAAGTTAACACAAGGAACACATCAGGGAAGAATGGAGCTGTGGTCTTTTGTGTGTATATGAATTGAGTAGCAACCATAATCAAAGTTGCCCAATGACACGATTGGCTTGACCCTGAAAACGACTGCTTTGATGACTTCTTGCTATGTGCTCCGGGCAGTCACTGAAATGATCGGTTTGGTAACCGAAGCGATGACATCGATCGTGAAGGTTCTGGTTAGCGAGAAGAAGGGCCGTGGTGAAGGCCGTCCCTGTCATCCTGCCCCGGCATACAGCAAGTGGGGACCATTTGTCGTTTTGAATCCAGGGGGTCTAGAAATGAACACGACGCTTTTGCTTAAATTATATTTTGGGAGAATGAGCTGGGTGGCTGCTTGACCTTTGCCTGCAGTATGCATTGGCTAAGCTCTGGGAATTGAGGCATACCTAGGACTTGATAATTGGTTTCTGGTCCTCCCGAGTAAAGTCGTATAAAAATAATTTAAAAAACACTGCAACTGAAGAAGAAATGATCCCTTGATTTTATGCGGAAAAGCAGTAATAATAAGCGCTTTTTGCGTTTACTTTCACAATATTTTTATTTATTTTGTACTTGCTTCATCCGAATTGACGATCTAAAGCAATCGAGGAAGACAAATGAAGAGCACATTACGTAGGGGCAGAGCGAGAGCATGGGCGCACTTATCGCGCCGAGGTGACTGGTAGCTCGATGGGTTAATACACACACGTAGTCAGCAGCACACTGAGCCAGTCCAATCACCAATGGCTGAACCAAAAAACCCATCAAATATATTTGATATTGCACTGGATTATCTCAGCTCTACGAATGGTTCACACACGCAAACTATACCAGCAGACACTGTTTAAGTGAATCGGCATGGCTACGGATATTTGTCAGCAGTGCAAAATTCAAGCCATGTTACTGTAAAAATTGGACCGCATTGCTACGGGAGAAAAAAAATCGGATAAAAAAACACATTTATTCTAATGTGAGATTCACATTACTGATGGTTCAAGGTATAAAATGAAATTTAAATTTGATTCCCACCACATGGCAAGAACCTTAAGAGATGTTATCTGTGCATATGACGTGTCTAACGTACCAACAGGGGGATGATTGCCGTGTTGATGAGGCCATGCACACGATCGAGATGGCGTTGGGTGGCTCACGTCGGCAAAGCGTCAACCTCCTACAGCAGGCACTGGGGGCCGTGTTCGTCTCTACTAGTGGCCCTGAGCCAGTCATAAACATTCCACATTCCTATGGTAGGAGCTCATCTCTTCATCAGATAGATAAATATCGGTAAGCGATTAAACTAAAGGTGAGCAATGTCATTATCCCATTGAATGTAGCCAGGAAACTCGTGAAAACTATTTTAAATCTTTAGATGTCTGAGCCGTTCACTGTCCCGTTTAAAGACTCCACCTCCCCACTCTCGTCTTCCTCTACTGCCCTGCAGGTGTCTTCCACTCCAACAACCAAGGATTATTTTCTGTTTTTTATTGCTTGTGGTTTTCAAACTGAGTGCATATTTTTTCTCTTTGTAATCATGTCATTTGTTCATAATATATTCATTTTGCAAAATCTTTTGGGAGGCTGCGCGTGGAAATTAGTGTTGTGAACTTTTGCATTAAAACGAATTATAATTATTCATGAGGAAGCTGTCCTAACGCTAAGATAATCATCGGGAGGGCGCTGCCCCCATAAACACCAGCCCCTCCACTCACCAGTGAAAAGTGTTCACGTGTGTATCTCCACTGGCCAATGAGCAATACGAAAGCTACAGGTCATATGGTCGGGTAGATTTAATATATATACAAAATTATCACCACAGTTTCTGAGCACAACGTTCTGTAGGAATGCATAAAATCGCAAATGAAAACCTACAAAAATGTAAGGAAATACAAAAGATCACGAGCCAAGAGTGGAATTCCACGGGACGCAGGGCGCACCTTAGCGCCGTGCGCTGCCCCGTGCCCTGGGGCCGGATCCAGGCCCATGGCCCCCGGCGCCGGGCTGGCCGAGCCCCACGAAGGCTCGCCCCGAGGAACCCTCCCCGCGCCGCCACCGCCTCAGCCGCGTGGCTCTGCAGGGACAGGAGGGCAGAGCACGCACGGCGAGAGTCCTCACACGGAACGACGGGAGAATAGAGCCATAAATCGGCACAGATGTAACTGAGAAATACAATAAAGGTGCTCAACTGGCTTCCAAATTACTCTCGAGTGTGCACAAGCCTCACACAGCCGAGCTCATTCCACCATGGTTGAGCCAATGCCAAACAATCACCATCCACCTCTTAACATCTGTTATGATGATGATGATAATACAAACACAGCACAGGCAACTATCGTGGGATCTGCAGTATATTTGCAGAGACTCCAGGCGGGCTGAAACCCTACAATCAAAAGGCTAAAACCTCCTGACCTAAAGTTTAATTTCCTTTATACCGCTCTACACGCTGCGTTAAACTGCAACAAATGCACAATGATGTCAACGTTGGTTTAGACTGGCTGTGATGAATATCTGGTGAGCTCCAACTCACATCGCAGCCAAGCCTCTGCGTGGCATACTCACCTGCTGTGTGGGGACGGCCTCAGATGAACAATTTTACATTTAACAACACTGCTGGACTTACAATTCGCTCCATATCATCTCAGTTCTCAAGCGCTTGTAACCTTCCTCAATGCAACAAATGTATGAACTCTTATGGCAAGTCGTATAACGCTGTTTTTTGCTGGCCATTTTACGTCTCAGGCCTTTGGGACTGTGCTCAGCAACTGTATTACAAAAAAAATGCATCATAATCTCAGAATGTGTATAAAAATTACAACTCCCAAGAAGAAAAATTGTAGAGTAAATGGCTGATTCCCATATCCCACTCTCATCACGAGCTACCCCATCGCAACATGCGTTACCATGTGAACATCACAATATACAAAGATCCCCCGTATAGCCTTAAGATACTGCTGGGGAAAGTGATATAAGCGAGCACCTGTGAAGGCTGCCACGACACACGAGGGGGTGGGTGGCCAGCACCACGCCTGACCGCCTTTGTATCCCCAGTGGCGATGTTTACACACCGCACTGGGGGAGTTCTTCAGATAATCGTCACTGTTGTTGGCCGTAAGCGGGAATCGAACTCGGTTCGCCGGGTTCGTAGCGCAATACACTAACCGCCACACGACCGCACATCTAAGAGATATGCACACACATAAATATCCACTCCAAATCCGTACTGGGTTTTCCCTGACTAAACCACTGTGAAGTACTGATAATTCTACAGTTGCATATCCACTCAGAAACACTCAGAAGATGTAATTTATTTTGCTCTAAAAGCCATCAAAAATCCAGAAGCACGTGTTCTTTTCAAGGCCGAGGTTTTCAAAACGCGACGCTATTTTTTCTTCAGAGAATTACTATGGTCACGTGACTCCATGGACCTCGTACATCAATCCCAATGCGTAATTCGTGAAGGGCCTCTGACGTTTTAAAAACAATGGCGATATGCAGGCAGCAAGGACGGTGCAACTGCAAGGCATTGCCCTTCAGCTAGAAATTGTTTGGAAAAACTTAAACCGCAGCAACCTCATTTCACTCACCTCCCTTTGGTAGCTCTTAAATTGAAAGTGTAATTTTTTACTGACATTTGGACATTTTCAAAGTGCAGTGCATTGAGGCACCATTGATCTACATGGAGCAAGTCAAAGTGTATCTCCTGTCCAAATCAGCAATTGGGTTGCACCTACCACTGTCGGTGGCCGTGAGTGGTGGAAAATAAAATTTCCAAAGATCAGGGCCAGTCTCGCCATTGTATGGCAACTGCCAACGTCCCTCAAAGTGGTGCTCATCTCTGACCCACGTGCTCATCTCTGACCGAGTACAGAACGACTTGTGCAATTATAGGAATTGCGTAACCTCGGACTTGTCCTAACGCCGATTCCATGTGGGATATACGCAAAAAACATTGCATAACCTCTGAGAGAACCGAGAGGTGGTCAGGACCAACTTTATCCGCCAGTGTGCACGTCGGTACAAAACAACAACAACCGCCATTCGCCACTAAGTGGCGGTGACGTCCACCACGACGCTTGTGCCAGGCCATGTGCACCTTGAGGCCACATGAAGAGTCGAACGCCCGCTGGCAGGTCACGGGGCAGACCCAAGTGCCACGGGTCGACTGACTAAGATGACTGAGATGACTGGCTGATGCACCACCTGTGCCCCCTACTGTGCTAATCTGCTGTGCTTTAGCCACCCGGCGCTCCGCTCGTTGTTGTGAGCGTCGCTCCTCCGCCCTCCGTTGTTGTTGGACGGCGACTGCCTCCAACTGCCCAGTAGCATCCTTCACGAACCTCCTCCACAGAGGCCGATCTTGACACCGCTGGTACCAGTCATCGGCAAGTCCACTCAGCTCCAAGTCCTCTTGTACCACATCACTCCATCTCTTCTCTAGCCCGTGCCGCGCCTGTTTAGCCCCCTTGATCCGGCCGAACAAAAGCTGTTTCGGCATGCGGTGGTTGGGCATGCGGGCTACATGACCCAGCCAACGCAGCCTTGCCTGCCGGAGGAGCTCACCGATGGGACCTTGCCCAGATCTTTAAAGGATTTGTGAGCTCCTCACACAATCCAGCCTGGTTAAACCCAGGATGGATTGTAGGCAGGCTAGCCTAAATGTTTATAACCGGCGAAGATGTTTCATTAGGGGGGTCCACGTTTCGCAAGCGTAGAGAAGGGAGGGAATGACCGTGGCCGAGAAGACCTGAAGCTTAGTGCGGAGCGACAGACCAGGTGGCGTCGGTACACACACGTGCTCTCACAAGCACGGAGGCGGCGGCGGCGACTACAACGTTCGGCGACGTCACCACATCGCTTGTACCAGGATAGGTACACTGTCAGGCCACGTGAAGTTTCGAAACTTGACTAACAGGAGTCAGGTAAGCAGTCATTAAAAGTGAAGTGCAGATGGTGTTGGGAGACAGAGCAGCTCTTGAAGACCGCTGCGTGTTGGCTGTGCAGCAGTTATGGACACACTGTGTGTATGTTAAACTTATTTTGCACTGAACATAGCCAACCGTGCTAATCGGAGGTGCGAGGGAATGACAAACTAAACACAAAAGGCAGTTCTAAAGAAATTAGTTTTCGATTTAAATGATTTAAAGTGCATGGCTCCAGTGGCTTCCTAATATCTGAAGTGCGTTCCAGTCAGCTGCAGAAGCGCATTTGAAAGCGCGCGATGCGATCCCAGTCTTTATTCGATCCGGTGGCGGGGAGAGGGCGTCGATGGCTTTGGCCGTGATGAGATCTAAATATTGGAGCAAAATACATGAGACCATCCTCAATTTGTGCGCGGATGTCGCTGTGTTTCTGCAGCTCCCCGGCACCGTAAGACTCGCGCTGCGGTGTTGCTGCTGCTGCAAATGCAGCAGCGAGGCCGCCCTTCCACAGGCAGCCCCGGAGGGCCTCGCTCTGCACAATGTCGCCTCATTGATCTGATGCCCACTGACATTATTCCCTCGAGACTTTACAAAAGAACCCGGAGCTTTTAATGCTGCGAATAAAAAAAAAAGATACGTGACGAATGTGTGTCGTATATAAATGGGTGTCCATTTTGGACAATAAGAACAACAAATGGGGTAAAAACAACACGTTTTTTAATTTTTGTTATGTTGTAAAGGTTCAAAGCGTCATTATTTTGGAGTTTGAATCAACTTTAAGTCTAGGTTGTAGTGTTTCAATTTCTGTAGTTTTAGTTTATGATTAGATTCCAAAGCGTGCCTTCGGGCAGCTCATTGTAAAGGGCGTTTCATAAGCTGGCCTTTATTATTGCCACTATGAATAATACCATATTTTACTGAAATATTTAATATAAACAAAACTTCCAAGAGCCATGTGAATTTTTTACCCAATCCACAGTTTCGAGCATGTCATTGAGACGATACATCCAAATGATGTTATTCCATTTTCCAAATTCACAGAAAGTAAACAGAGCTAACGTACTCTTTGGTTCTATTGGGTAAAGTCACGTAGGTAAAAAATAAAATAACAAAAATCACGACGTTTCGGCCACAACACAAGCGGCCTTCATCAGGTGAAGGGACGAGACTGTCTGGAGGATAGCGCTGTCCTCCAGACAGTCTCGTCTGGAGGACAGTCACGAAAGCTTTAAATCTAGAACAGAGCTAACGTGTTCTTCGAAATAATCGGCTCAAGCACTGGACGTCTTGAAATTAAACTAGACAGTGGATATACTCTTAAATATGCACAACTAAATGGTTTTGACCATTTGCAGCTAAAACGGGCACAAATCAGTGACAAAATAACCCAGCACACCATACCCCTCCTTCACACATTTGTCCCTCCACACGAACTTTCTGTCATTCTTCAGCTGGCACCAAAAGTGATTAAAGACCTCTCATTTGTCACTATTAAGTAGCCCAAAATACATTTACCATGTGGATGCATTTACTAATCAATTATAAAATATAAGAAGCAAAACTAATTTATGGAATATTTTGGTTCATTCACTAATGCTCATAAATATTGTAAGAGAAAAGGTCACAATTTAAATTCTACTCCTGAGACGATCCTAAACGTACCCATGGAGAGGCAACAATGTGACATGTATCGTGTGACATGTATGGTGTGACATGTATCATGTGACATGTATCGTGCATGCTACGGCTCCTCAAGTAGGTCACGCACAGTCGCAGACATGTTCACAGAGAAAGGATCATTATAAAATAAATAATTGCGAAAATAAACAAACTTAACAATATAAATATTCACATTAAAAAATATTGAAGCCACAGACTTCCGAAAATGACTCGCAAGGTTTAATATGCAATCTTCTTTTGCACGGCTGCTGATATAGCTACAAAACAACAACTACAATTTCACATTCAGGTGGTGAACATGGGGCAGAAGATGGCAGCCTTCATGCGGCTCACTCTGCTAAGTGAGAAATAACGACGAACGCCATCAACGCCGCGACCGAACATCGATCGTCGATCTCCCGGTCTCTAGAGCAACACCACAATATTCATTAACCAAGCATGATGGGCAGATCTTATAAACAGCAGCGGGAGG